GTTACACAGACCTTTGTAAAAAGGAATACAAATCGACATCTGATGACAAGTAAAACACTTCTCATGTCTAACCAAGTTCAAAAATATGATTCTCTATAACTCATCATCAAAGAAACAATGAATTTTAGTTAGTTTTTAACTACTGCTATTATCTTGGAATGCTATAATAGAGGAAGTTTTTCTCATTTTGTGTAACTTTTATTAATTATCTTTCAATTGATGACACTAAAGTTCTGCTTCCAGGCCTTAGAATTTTTTTTCATTCAAAAGACAGTATATGACCTTATCTTTCCATATGATATGAAAAACAAAATGCACCAATATTTTAAGATGCAAACAAGGATAATGCATAGCACCCCAAACTGGTCCTGAAGGGGCAATATAGAAGTCTGAAGGAAACTGCCAGACTTGCTCAGGCAGTTCCTGCAAAACCTGCCTTTGGCAGGCCACAACGGAGTGCTTCACACGGGACATGGAGGACACACAGCTCCTCCATCCTCCTGTCAGACAAGGCCMCGAACAGCCCCCTAGCTCGGAGACGTCAGCTCTGCTCCTCTGCTGCTGCCGAGCGCCAGGRCTGAGCCAATGTGTCACTGATGCCCTCGACACGTCCAACAAGGCCAACATGYGGGGTGGCCACCCAGCCCTTTCCTGGAATTTGAGGGAATTTGATGGAAACACGAAGCGGCACCTGCACCCACGCGGCGTGAGGAGCCCCACACGGCACCTAGACCGCGTCTTTAAGGATCCCGTCAGCCCAAAGGACACCGCGCTGGCGGGAGGGCACACGCGGCTCGGCCGCCGCCTAAGGCGGGCTGCCCCGGCCGGCCCGGCCACCGGCACCGCGAGCGCGGCGCGGGCAGCCGGGCCGGCCCGGCTGCATCCACACGCAGGAGGGTAAATGGGTTTAGCCCTTTCATCCCAGCAGCCAGATGGTTTAAATCCTAAGCTGGGGCAGCTAATTCCAGCCCGGTACTCGGCCCTGAGACAGCACGGACACCCCTTGCCCACGCTGCGGCCSCTGTGCCGGGCGGAGCGGGACCCCCAAAGGGCCCCGCGCAGGCGGGGAGGGGWGAGGAGGGGTGGCCGAAGCCGGGGCGGCCTCGGCGCGGCGGGGCCGCCAGGCACTCACCGGACATGCTGCCGGGCGGCGAGTCGCGGCGCGCCTGGCTG